ACAACTTCTTATTTCAAAATCAAATTCCTCCCATCTAGGTGTCAGCACCATGTTGAATAGCCATTCTTGCCCATCCATCATGCCCTTAACAGTCTCTTTGTATGTCATCTAGGCTAGTCTCCTTACAAATCTTGCCATATCCTACACAAAGCTGTGCTTATCCTCTGTTCCCCATGAACAGACTCTGAAGACCACTCTGCTGTCCATAACTGTATGTAGGCTCATTTCAGACCAATTTTGACATGTTCATGAGTTGAACCTCATCATAACTAACTGATATATCGTAGACCACGCAATATCAGGGCTCTTAAAACAGTAGATTTTTCTGTCCGTTTTATTTTATATGAGAATAGCATGAGCCCAATGAGATTATGTGGCCAAATTCCAAGTTCACACAAGTGTAATGGTAAAGGTCATAGTAGGTCCAAAAGCATATCATCGTTTTCTGTGATTATCAGCCATTCACAATAAAGTACATTTCTTTGGTTGTAATTATGATGTGTTTGGCTTGTAGCTGTAATATTTGTACAAATATTCCTCATTCTGTTTTATTTCCTAAATTAGACCATAAGCTACCAGTAGGCATCTTTAATTGCCCCTAGGCTTCACTCTTTCCTGTGGGCTCGATCCCTGACACACATGGTAAAATCAAACCTCAGTAAAACTACAATTTTAATATAAGAAGAAGGAAGAAAACATGTCTATATTTTCTTTTTACCTTCTCCAGCTTAATACACATTTGGCTTATTTGCATGTTTTCAGTGTTTTAACTGTGGTAGAATATGTACATAAGTACAAATAACTAGGTGTCTGCTCAGAGTGCTTTGACCCACTGCTGTATGGAATCAAAAATGAGGAAACTGCTTCTCTGATGCTCAGTGCTCTGCTGCTTCTCCAGCCACTGAAGCTTGGATATGGTCTAATAACCTCAAAGGTTCACATGCTAGAGCTTGGTCTACAGTGTGGTGAGGCTGAACGTTGTTAAACCTTGAAAAGGTGGGCCAGGCTGCAGCTCCCAGCCCCCCGCAGCCTCCACCCCAGGCGTGGCCCCTGCCTGGCCTTACTCCAGCAAGAGCAGGGCAAGTACACTCAGCTCTGTCCTTGGTGCCAAGCTGATGACAAGACTGTTCTAAAAGGCCTCCAGGACACTTTGATGTCCTGGAGCAGGGGATGATGGCATTGGTGCTCACCTGGCAGGACCATGGCTGTTTTGCAACAAACACCCATAACAGCGGCTTTGCCAACCTGACAGTTTATCCACATGGCTTTGTGTTGTGCTGCTGGTCCTTCAGAATCACTATAGTGATGCACATGGCAAAGAAGAAATTGTCAGGCTTTCAAACAAAGTAGAAGAAAGACAGAATTAAGTCTGACAGTGCTGGGAGGTCATCCCTTACCACCCACAGTTTGCTTAGGGGCTATCGACAGTTGGTCTGTGCTAGTGGGCAAAGGAAGCACTACAGGGTGAAGGGTTTACCTCATCAGAACATTAAAATTCTACACTTGAAACAGCTTGGAAATGTTTGCCTCCCCAGTGGGAGAGTGATTTGGCGCATACCTAGATGTCCTGGGCAGTGGCAAAGGGGGTTACACTAGCAAAGTGGTACTGATTCTACAAGCAGGCCTGGGGCATATTATATGAAATAGCCAAACTGAAACCAAAGCAACTAGCCGGGGAGCAGCTGCAGAGACCCGTCAAGACCCCCAACAAGAGCTCTGAGGACCTTAGTGCCCACTTGTCCCAGAGCTCATGACTTTCCCTCCCTACCCTCTCAGAAAGTCTGGGTGGTAGTAACTCAAGAAAGGATATTGATAAACAAGTCTATTTAGCCTGTTAGGAAAAATAAGTTGTAATCATAGTTTAAAATGTTTTTATTTGTATAATGCTTTAATACTAAAATATTTTAACCTATATCATGAAAATTTCTGAATATTACCAGGTGAAGTGGCACATACCTGTATTCTTAGTAACTTGGAAGGCTGAGACTGGAGGATAGCAAGTTCAAAGCCAGCCTGGGAAACTTAGCAAGACCCTGTCTCAAAATCAAAAAAGGAAAAAGGCTGGGGTTGTGACTCAGCGGTAGAGTGTTTGCCTCGCCCACACCTAGCTCAGCTTTCCATCCTCAGTACCACTGCAACAGCAAACCTTCTTTCTGAATGTTACACTTTCATTCAAAAGGCATTTTGGAGAAAGGCTTCTCAGAGTTGTCACAGTCTCAGAGAAGGTCTTTCTCTTTTCCAGCTTAGTGCTAATAATCACACAGCAACAATTTGGTGACCTACTTTACAGACCTGTGAGGATTTCTTCCATTCTAGCACCAGATTCTTCATCATTCCCCATCATTAAGGCCCTAATCACACTGAATTACACTCCTGCTAAAAGAAAACTTTGTAAACTGTCAGGCTTTCTCATGTATACATCTTTTGCAAATAATGAATATTATTTATTACATCTATAATTGAGGCACTCAGTCACTTAAGCAAAATAAAAACAACATTCATGATGTTCAGAGATTTATAGTAGGTAGGCAATTTCAAAATCTTCAAAACTAAATTTGCAAAATATAAAATGTGCTCCAGAGCTTATATATAAAACCAAGTATGATATTAAGCAACATATTGATTATATTAAGAAGGTTGAAATTTTTAGAAAATCAAATATTTTTATTTTCATATATATAGTAAATCAGATTTTAGTTACCTGACAGATTGTTTCAATAGTAATTGATCATTTTGTAATTGTGTTGTCAGCAATGAGTGGCTAGTTCTATAAAGTGGAATAGGAGACAAAGGATTCTTAAAAGTGTCGTTAGTTGAGATAGAACGGAGGAGTACAGGGCTGGGGTTGTGGCTCAGCGGCAGAGCATTTGCCTAGCATGTTCAAGGCCCTGGGTTCAATCCTCAACACCACATAAATAAGTAAATAAATAAATAAAGGTATTGTATCCAACTACAACTAAAAAATAAATATTTTTTTTAAAAAAAAAAAAAGAATGGAGGAGTACATTTTTTATCCATTTGCTTTTATTTTTTAACATAGCTTTACATAGTTTTCCACAAGTTGTCTTTAGCAAATAGTTTTGGCTTAAATAATGTGCAGATGACATGCAGCTATAGGAACTCTGCCTCCTTAAGCTTTTTGCTGATAACTCAGAGCAGTAGCTGCACAGCAGAATCACTCAGGAGCTCTGGAAAAACACCCATCTTCCAGAGGTTTGGGTTCCTGGCTGGAGCCAGGTCATCCGTTTTTATGCGCTCTCCCAGGCAGTTCTAGTGAGCTGCAGAGGCTGAGAAGTACCAACTTAAAACATTTTGGATATCATAGAAAGGGCACAAGTGAGTAACTTTAGAAAAAGAGATGGAATACACAATGTAATAGACAAATGGCATAAACCAGAATGTTCATACAGCGTTGTCAGGAAAAAAGGTTATTAAGGCTTCTGTTAGGAAATGAGATCATCACTCATGTAGGCTCTCCAGCACAGTAGAGGGGAGCACAGCGTGCACAGTAGACAGGAAGAGAATGCTGAGCAAGTGTGGATGGGCGAGAGGCACCTGCATTCAGCAGAGCAGTGCTTAATCCCTGTCAGAGAAATGAAAGCCTTAACTTTTAAAACCTGCCAGGTAAAAAGAAAGTTCAGGATCTTATTCTCTAAAACCTTTTTTACAGTCCTACACATTTTCACATATATCAACTTTTCTCATTCCTACATTTCAAAATTTAATAAAATTCACTGCCAGGAAAATCCTTTTTAACCCTAGTCACAGAAGAAACACTAGAACTGCATAACAGCCCAGCAGTAATATTGGATCAAGTTGGCCTGAGAAATGTCATTTTTTTTTTTTTTAATATTTGGACCAGTTCAAATAAGTAGTGAAGGGCTGAGGATGTGGCTCAAGCGGTAGTGCACTCGCCTGGCATGCGTGCGACCTGGGTTCGATCCTCAGCACCACATACAAAGATGTTATTTCTGCCGAAAACTAAAAAATAAATAAATATAAAAAAATAATAATAAGTAGTGAAAAGATGAGTTACTCGGAAACTCTTAGGATTATAGGCTGTCCATTTGTAAAATAAAGCTACAGAAAATACATCCCGGGCTAACTAAAGAGTTAAATATGAATATGAGAATTTAGAAGACTGCTAGAGATTTTGTAGATGTAATCATGGGGGTGGGGAAGGCCTTCTGACACAGTCCAACCCAGAAGTCTGAAAGGAACCAGTAGGAGGCAGAGTGTTGTCATGGATAAGGACTTGAACTGGACATCAGATGGCCTGGGTTCCACTGCATATCTGCCCTTTTGATCTTAGAACTAAAATACAATCTAAACAGTCAAAAAGTGTTTACTTAGGGAAATACATACTAAAACAATGAACTCTCATTCTTCGCCTCTCACGTTGGCAAAAATTAGAAAGGATTGGAAAGAGTATGTTGAAAAAGAGAACAGATGCCCCTGTTCTGTTGGTGGATATATAATCAGCACTGCCTCCTTGAAGCGTGAATTGCAATGTCTGTTGAGAGTTAAAATGAGCATGTCCTTTGACTCTGCAATTCCAGTTCTAAATCTCTCTCCTAATCACACATTTATAAGTGTGCATAGTCTTTTCACTGAACCATTATTCAGAAGAGCTCAAAACTAATATATGCTAATCAATATGGGAATTAATCTTTTAGGGATAAGTGGGGAAGAAAGACCCTTTTTTTAAAAAAAAAAACCTTTATTTTATTGATTTATATGTGGTGCTGAGGATTGAACCCAGGGCCCCGCATGTGCCAGGCAAGCGCTCTACCAATAAGCCACAACACCAGCCCCAAGACCCTTTTTTTGATCCATAGATATCTGTAATTTTACTGTAAAAAACTACTGGAAATGATTTTAGAATGTATTCTCCCTAAAAATTGTTAGCTACTTAGTGTTTCATGCCAAGCTATTTCAATCAACAATATTTTAAATGTCTTTCTGTTAAAAAAAAAAAAATCATATGTACTTTTTTGCAGAATGGAAACAGACTGCAATCCCATGGAGCTAAGCAGTATGTCGGGGTTCGAGGAAGGCTCAGAGCTTAATGGCTTTGAAGGAACTGACATGAAAGACATGAGGCTGGAAGCTGAAGCAGTTGTGAACGACGTTCTCTTTGCTGTGAACAACATGTTTGTCTCGAAAAGCCTACGCTGTGCAGATGACGTGGCCTATATCAATGTGGAAACAAAGGAAAGGAACAGATACTGCCTGGAGCTCACTGAAGCAGGACTCAGGGTAACTCGGTTTTCTTCGCACACTCACCCAAAAGTATATCTTTACCATTTTTTGATAAAAGTAGAGGGGAGTAAGGATGGGAGTGGTGTTCACTGTCAAAATTAGACATTCAGTAACTTCCAAAACTCTTAAAGAAAACCTTAAAAGTCTTTGATCATGAGAAATTTAATTTTTTGAAAAAGACAAAATTTTACTTGCAAGGTACTATGTCATTACCCCCACAGTAATTTATTTTTCATGGGGCTAAATGTGTCCACCAAAACTATTCATACTCTGCAGTGAATGAGTTTTGCAGTCTATATATTGAAAGGATCTTTGTGCGCTTCTTATAAATGTCTTTCCTATTAAAACAAAGTTTTTGACTCTTCTGTTTTCCAGCTCTTAGATCAAAATTGAATCAGAGAGAGCTGGGAGTGGTGTCACAAGTGTGTAATCCCAGCAACTAAGAAGGCTGAGGCAGGAAGATCACAAGTTCAAAACCAGCCTCAGCAACATAGCAAGGCCCTAAGCAACTTAGCTTGACCTTGTGTCCAAGTAAAAACTAAAAAGGGCTGAGGATGTGGCTCAGGGGTTAAACGCTTCTGAATTCTATTTCTGGTACCAAAAAATCAGAGAATGACATTGTACCTCCAGATTTCCACGAGTCTCCTATTGTTCCCTTATTATAAGAATCTGTTATAAAATCTTCCAGACAGATTGACCTTTCCACATCTTTAACCAGAATCATAAATTTAGAATAACAGAAAACATCAACTTACAGCAGCTGTACAACAGAAAAGATGGAGTACCACATACCAGTAATCCAAGCAACTCGGGAGGCTGAGACAGGAGGATGGCAAGTTTGAGGTCAACCGAGGTAACTTAGTGAAACACTGTCTTAAAATATAAAAGGGTTGGGGATGTTGGCATGGGGCTTGCCTAGCATGTATGAGGCCTTGGGTTTAATCCCCAGTTCTGGTTTCCTTCCGATGACTTATAGGTACTGTATGTTCCTTGAGAGGTGAAGCAAGGCCAGCATCTCCACTGCTCTCAGTTTCCTCATAACTGCCACATAGATAGCTGCTTTAGTAGTAGTACCTGCATTCACCTAAGGACCAAACCCAGGCCTTGAGCACACTAGGCAAGCGCTCTACCGCTGAGCTGCTTCCCCAGCCCTGCATCCACCAATTTTTATGCACCCCTTTCAAAATTTCATAATTTGCACTGAAAACTGTAGTGGATCTTAAGTACAAACAGGCTCAGGAATCAGAGGCAGGAGGATCAAGAGTTCAAAGCTAGCCTCAGCAAAAGCGAGATGCTAGGCAACTCAGTAAGACCCTGCCTCTAAATAAAAATACAAAATAGAGCTGGGAATGTGGCTCAGTGGCCAAGTGCCCCAGAGTTCAATCAATCCCCAGTACCCTCCACAAAATGTAAAGACAAATAGCCAAATCAGGTTTAGAGATAAATGCCCAGGGTAAATTCTGTCTTGGTTTTGGCTAATTCTAAAGTGGCTGTAGTAAGGTCAAAGGTGTTCTTTTTCCTCTGTGCTACTGGGGATTGAACCCAGGGCAGTCTACACCAAGCTACACCCCCAACCCTTTTCAGTTTAGCTTTTATTTTAAGACAGGGCCTTGCTAAACTGTCTAGATTGGCCTCAAACTTGCGATGATTCTGCCTCAGCCTCCCAAGTCTCTGGGATTACAAGCATGCACCACAGCACACAGCTAAGTAGAAGCAGTTCTCAGGGAGACTCAGAAATCGTAAATGTGAGTGATTTTGGTTGAGTTGGTCTACTGTGAACTCCTGCTTCTTTATCTATTACCTAAAAATTAAGAACTAAAATGAACTGTAAGCACTATTATATGACTAAATGATGCAGAAAGATCTGAATCAATCATAAGAATGGGCATGATGTCAGTCTGTTTTCAGATTTTTTTTTTTTTTGTCTAATAGTTATTGAGCAACTGTCCTGCGCCAGCGCTTAGAAATCAAATCAAAAAGATGTGACCCCTGACCTTTGGAAGGTCACAGTCTAGCAGGGATAAGAGAGAGGCAGACGAAGTGTCCCACACAGCAGAGAGTGACATAGAAATGTGGACCTGAAGAGGTGTGGTTCATCTTCCTCAGGTGTCTGCCTCTGGTTTTATTTTAACTATAAATTACTCAACTTCGGTTTCTAACATAAACTTCTATGGCTTAAATGTCTTCTCTGGCTTAACTATATGCAACAAAATATAGAGTTTATATGGGGGTTTTATAAGCTTTAATGAACAAAAACTTACTTTTATCTTTATGTGCTGGTGAAACATGATATATCTTATTTTCTTGTCAGAAAAGCTTAGCTATGTTTAAAGGTGAAAAAATCACATAGAATAACATTTCCATTTATCTCATAAATTTGTTCCCTGTCAGACCATCAGATAAGTAATGTATTAGGTGAAAGTGACCTTTCACATTACTAATTACTAAAGCCAAGTTGTTATTAAAACAAGTATTAAAATAAAAAACTGATAAAGCTAATTCATTATTTAAATTAAACCATCTATAGGAATAATTTTGGGATACTTTATTTAAAAAGTCTAACCTAAATAAATAATAATAAAATATGAACTGATATTATCTATTATAACACCTTAATGTAGTGGACCCTCAGTATATGTGGAATTAAATAGGTATAAAAAGCATATTTTGATATATGAAAATGAAATTTTTATGTATGTAACTTTTTAAATTCTTTCTCTATATTCCTTTTAGGAGCAGAAGTGGGTAAATCAAACCTTTTAAATATCAAAAAAAAAGAATTCCATAGGAAATATTTTTCTAGGGTTGTTTATATAAGTTCCTTAAATACTAAAGGTTGTATTAGAGAACAACCTGTTTAAACACTCAGTTTTCATTTCCTGAACCAAGGTGGAAAGGAATTATGTAATTCATGGGTATATTTCTCTTGTAGGTGGTAGGTTACGCTTTTGACCAGGTGGAGGATCACTTGCAGACTCCCTACCACGAAACCGTCTATTCTCTGCTGGACACACTCAGCCCTGCCTACCGGGAGGCGTTTGGAAATGCGCTGCTTCAGAGACTAGAAGCTTTGAAAAGGGACGGACAGTCTTGACTAAGTTGTTTCCTGTCAGATGGGGCTGCTTCTGGTACAGAATGTCCACATGAAACTTGAAGTTTTTGCACATGGTCATAATTGAAAATGCTTCTTCAGTTCTGTGTGTTTATCATTTGCTTCAGATTTAGGCTTTTGGCTTAGAACATCAGTGACCTAATCAGTTGTCTTAGTTTCTGATTCATTAAGGGAATTCTGAGGCCATTGCTATGACACCATCATAGGACATAAGATTTCTTCATATAATTTCTCTGCATCTCAGAACCTAATCAGTGTTTCATTCTCTTATTACAGGGCTTTGATGCTGCCAGCACTCTCTTTTACATATGAAATTCTAGATTTGCACAGTAATAATAGGAATTAGAATTACCTAACTTCAAACATGGATTCAGCCTGCTAAATCAGGGGTTTACTACTAGCTTGGACTGACTTTGTAGTGATTATTTTGCTACTGGCCTTATTGGAAACAAACTATTGACTAGTTTCCCCTGCACAAATTTTGAGATTCACTGCTTCACTTAATCTATTTATATTGCTAATATGGTTTGAAAAGATGAATGACTTATATGTTCTAGCTAGTATTAAATAAAAACAGGGACCGAAGTCGTGCTTGTGCTCCTTGTTTGCAGCAGCCAGCCAGCTAAGCAGAAGATGAACCGTTAGCAAATGAATGTAATAACTACTTGTTTCCAAGACATCTAAGCACATAAGCAAATATAGGAACAGGCTTCATTCCCAACAAAAAGCATCCTCAATGTGTGTGATTGAAAAGAAGATTCTGGTTTCCTAGAAGACAATATTTTGGCCTGTGTTAATTCTTATTCTGAATGTTTGTTTACATAATGTACAGTATATATTCAGAAAGTATTTTTGCTTCAACATTTACTTTCTATAACGTAGTGCTTTGGTATTCCCATGGCACCCCTCCTCCCCAGTAGATGGACAGTGTTCTATCTCAGTGCTAAATGTACAGTGTAATGTGAGTGCATTGTATGGGTTTGAAACCAAAGGATGAATGAAGCATTCAGAGACTTAATATTTGAAAAAGAGATACTCTGTATTTTATATTTTACTACAGGTACTAAAATTTATAAACTTAATAAAATGTCCATTGCTGCTGCATGTTTTCAAGTACATGTCGAACAATAAGGATTGAGGAATTTTTTTAATAGTCACCTGAAGCAGCTGCTGTAGAAATATTGAACTAAAATTCTGTTTCCAGACACACCTTCATGAATTTGTCATTTGCAGATTTTTTTTCTGGTCATTATTTGAAAAATAGGCATTTCTAGGTTCCAAAGATCACATGAGGGCTATGGGTGTATCTCAGTGCTAGAGCAGTACTTGCCTAGCATATGTGAGGTCCTGGGGTTCAATCCCCAGCACCAAAAAAGGAAGAAAAAGGATCACTGGACCAGAGCAAATTAAAGTTCAGTTTTCTGTCATTATCCCTGTCAGAGCTCACTGAAATGCGTGTGATGGATAACGTATGTTCACTCTCGACTTTATTTTCAGACGCTTAACTGGGCAGTGAAGTCTAACTTCAGGTTGAACTTTCTCATGCTTAATCTCAGGCTAAATGTAAATGATATTTGTAAAGTTTGAATAAAATTCTGTTTATCATTTTTTGAGTTAACTATGAAGAAAAGCAGTTGTGTTTAAAAATTGAAATTGTTCATTTTGTGATAAATGATTGATTCCAAAAGCTTCTGTTTCCATTTTTCAATTCTACATTGTTATATTCTACGTATGTACTTTTGATTTGAAGTGAGTTAAATGAGTTGCCTTTTTTAATTACCATGAAAGAGGAACACCAAGAGAGGATATTAGTAAAACTACACAGATCTACATGAGAACCTAGACATTAAAACCTTCATTTTGCTGGGTATGGTGGCACATGCTTATAATCCCACCCTCTCAGAAGGTAAAGGCAGGAGAATTACTTACAAGTTCAAATTCAGCCTGTGCAACAGAGCAAGACCCCATCTTAAAACAGGCACAATGGTATACACCTGTAATCCCAGGAATTTGGCAGGAGGATTACAAATTCAGGCCAGCCTCGGCAACTTAGACCCTGTCTCAAAAAATAAAAACAGCTGGGGATGTAGCTTAGCGATAAAGCAGTTCCATTTCCAGTACAAAACAAAACAGTTTAAAGGATTTAGGCAGACATGAAGTCTGTCGCTCCTAAAATAAAAAATGGGGGGGCGGGTAGCTTCTAGACAAATAATTCTTAACGAATGAATTTTTTAAAAAAAAGAAGAAAAAAGAAAGGGCAAGAAAATACACATCTCTCACTTGAAAACTATTTTAAAAAACAAAAAACCTGAAAGATATTCAACCAATTAAGAATATCAGAAAGGAAAATTTTAAATAATCCGACCATTTCACCTAATAATTTTGTGATTTTTAAATACTGGGACTTTGGGGCTCTATCCCATTCTCTTGGAGAATATGTGGATGAAATATTGGTAACAAAACTTGACAGATTTTAACTCTTGAACTGATTGTAGCAATCTGGTGTGGGGAAATGATCAACAAATGATGTTTGTTTAATGAAAAATTGGCAAGACTCTAAAGAGCAGTGTGTTATGCTACATCCTTTTGATGAAAAATACAGTGATTTAAAATTATGCAAGATGGCAGTAAGGGGAGATTACGTTGCACTAAAATATAGGAGCTTCATACTAAAATAATGTTCTGAAATGTTAATGGTCACCACTCTGTGGTAAGTTAGGTAATTCTCATTCTCTTTATACCTTTTCTCATTTTCTACATTAAGGGAGACACACAGGGTGGAGGTCAGTGCTTCAGCACATGTGCAGCATGCATGAGGCCCTGGGTTCAAATTCCAAAACCAAAAATAAAAAGGCAGCAGAGGCAGGCGTGCGACCGGCACAGGGTTTCTATGTGCTGTGGGGCAGTGTGATGGGGAAGAGTGGCACCTCATTTTCTGTAGTGACGCTCCTGCCTTTGCCTAGGTTCCAGAATCAGCTGTTACACTTCCCACACAGCTCATTAGCTAGTGCTGTACTGACTGTTGGCTTCTCCGTTTCGCTGCACTATTCTCTCTCCAGCATTCAGAAACAAAATGTCCTGGGCGCACCCTTGTAATCTCAGCCACCTGGGAGGTTGAGGCAATTAGATGGCAAGTTCAAGGCCAGCCTCAGTAACTTAGTGAGATCCTGTTTCCATAACAGAGCTGAAGATGTAGCTCAGTGGTAGAGTACTCGTGGGTAAGGCTCTGGGTACAATCCCCAACGTCATGAATGAATGAATGAATGGTACTGTCAGCCTGTTCCCTCTTAGATCCTAAGGTGTGCCACACTGACTTAAGAAATTTCTAAACACTTATTTTAGGAATGGCATAGCTGAGAGGAACCTGCTCAGCAGCCTAGCCTAGCCTACAGTTAGATCAAAACAAGTCTGACACAGAGCATGGTGGTGCACACCTGTAAATCTTAGCATCTCAGGAGGCTGAAGCAGGAGGATCTGAGTTCAAAACCAACCTTAGCAACTTAATAAGGGCCTAAGCAACTCAACGAGACCCTGTTTCAAAAAAATTTTAAAAGGGATTGGGATGTGACTCAGTGTTGAAGCATTCCTGGGTTCAATCCCCAGCTCACCACCCCCCAAAAAAGGTCTGCTCATACAGTAACATAAAAGCCATCACATGAACTTCGTGATTATGTGTAGGCTGATTTAGAAAGAGGGAAAAAATAAAGACATCAGTTGGTATAACAGAAGTAATCAATAGACTTCTACCAATATAAATATAAAATAATCTGGAAGCCATCAGCATTGTAACTACAGAGCTAGTTCATTTGCCATTATCTGGAGTGTAAACAGTAAGAATGAAACAAAGGTAAGTTAGGTTATTTCATTGTAGTTACCTAGCTGAAATACTTCCAAAGTATTTACCTGCCTAACTATATCAATAAGGAAAGCAAAGACAAATGAACACCTTGAAAATGAGGAATCAGGTGAACATTAGAATATTCGAGCCAACAAGTCCTTTGAAAGAATGCTGAATCATATCTACCCCATCAGCTTTGGCACCAGTCTTGCATGAGTGCCTTTGCATTTAAATTGACAGCACTTTTTTGTGCCTTGAGCAAATTGTTCCCAACTTTGCAAAAATTCAAACAGAAGAAGTTTTAATGAGGCTCACACATATTTTTTTAAAATAGGCTGCAATCCTATCAGCTCGGGAGGCTGAGACAGGAGGATCGCTGGTTTAAAGCCAGCCTCAGCAATGGCGAGGCATTAAACAACGCAGTAAGACCCTATCCCTAAATAAGATACAAAATAGTGCTGGGGATGTGACTCAGTGGTTGAGTGCCCCGTAGTTCAATCCCGTGTGTATGTGTGTGTGTGTGTGTGTGTGTGTTTTCACACAAAAAGGGGGGGTTTGAGGCAAAAATGGAATGCACTTATCTGGGGGCAGGGGATAGAACCCCGGGCCTCATACATGTTAAGGCAAGTGCTGTACCACTGAACTAGAACTCTAAAAAGGTGAAACAGGTTTCCATTCCTGAAAGTTTTCAGCCTGCCAAAAACAAGCAGTAATTTCACCTTTGGAGACCACTTTAGAAAATGTGTTGTCTTATTTAATCCAAACAGTCCTATTAGGCTGGTGGTATTACTCCGGTTTAAAAGCCAATTGAACAACCTGGGGGAAGTTAAAAGATTGGACCCAATGGTCCTCAAATGGCTTCACTGGAACTCAAACATCTCCTGAGTCCCTAACAGCCCAGAGTCTCCAAACTGTTTGGAGGTTCTGGGCCACAGCCATTTGTTTCAAAGCAATCAGTATTAAAAATGTGGAGGGATGGGTATATAGCTCAGTGGTAAAGGACTTGCTTAGCATTCCTGGGGCCAAGTTCAATCCTCAGCACTGGGGAAAAAAAAAAAAAAGCAGCAGCCATAGGGGGAAATAAAACGCTGTATATGTGGAATACTTACATTTAACAAATTAACGTTTTTAAATATTTTGATACAATCGGGCTATTTGTTCTAAAATAACTACAGAATATATTCATAGTCCAGCACAACCTTTGAGGTCCACTAATAAGTTTTTTTTTTTTTTTTAATTTAATTTAGCAAATTCTACAGGTAATCTCATTTGGAAAGAAGGTCAAGCGTGTAAATTTCATCCGTTTGTGAACGTGAGTGAACCCTGGGCACCACATGGCCTCTAGTGGCCCTCCTCCTCACCCTCAGAAGCCTTCTGGGTACAACCCCTAAGCCATGAGTCCTGTGGACCCGACCGCGGGAGGCTGCGCGGAGGAGACCGCCCACGCCGTAGTTCCGGGGTCCTGGCCCCCAAGCCCCGAGGCAACCGCTTCTCTTCCCAGTAGAGGACTTAGTCGCGTCGCCCCGGAGACCGTTCCACAGGAGAAGGAACGCCCGAGGCTCAGCTGGGTTCAGGGGATGATCCTTTCGTCAGGGTCATCATATCAATATTTTTGGTCAAGTGGAAAGAAATGAAAGGGAACAGAGATCACCTGGCCCCGTGTGACAGACGCTGAATGAGGCTCCAAAAGGAGACGCCTCGGCCAGAGGGCACGCGGTGGGTCGTACGGTAAAATGAGACCAGAAAGCGCTCACTTGGGACCCCAAACTGCAGCCCACAAACCGACCGGGCACCCGAAACCCCAGGCGGGAACCCGGCACTCCCGCCGTGCCCCGCCCAGCGCCCGAGCCACGCCACGCCCCCTCCCGGGACTCCCCGCCCCTTGGAACACGCCTCCTCCAGGAAATGCCCCGCCCAGCGCCCAAGCCACGCCACTCCTCCTCCGAGACACCCTGGCCTGAGCGATACGCCCCCTCCCGGAAATGCCCCACCCAGCGCCAGAACCACGCCACGCCCCCTGGGCGCCCCGCCCCGCGCGACACACCTCCCCCCGGAAATGCCCCACCCAGCGCCAGAGCCACGCCCCGGGCCAGCACGCTCCACCCACCGCCCAAGCCACGCCCCCAAAGAGCCCGACTGGAACGGCCTCCCGGGACCCGCCTCCTTAGCAACCGAGGGACTCTTTCACCTTAGCAACCAGCGAAGCTCCCACCATGGCTGAAGACGGATTTGCTGCCCCTCCGGAGAAAGTTATCCGGGTCCAGAGGGTGTTTATAAACCTGCTGGACACCTACAGCAGCAGGAACATCGGGAAGGTGAGCCGCCGCGGCGCAGAGCCGGACCCCTGCCCACGCCGCCGGGTACCAGGCCCCCACCCGCTTCCCCTGAGGAAGTCCCACGTCCTGGCCACCGCCAATACCCCTGGGCCCCGGTTCGCAACCAAGCTAGACGTGGGCTCCCAGCTGGAAACACAAGTGTTTGGAGATCACAGGTCCAATCCTGCTTCCTCCCTGGGAACTGAGGACAAACTGAGGCTCAGAGGGAGAAATGGACTTGTCCAGGTTCATGTAGAGAATTCGGGGCAGGACCTAGCCTCCTGACTGAGTCTCCTCCCTCCTAACGAGGTTGTCTCTCTATGCTGCCACTGCATCTGAAGCAGGCATGTGATGGAAAAGTTAAGTTCATGAAGCATTTTTTATTAGTCCGGCTCTTTTGTGAGCGTGTTATGTAACAGGGACTCTTTGGGCTGGAGTACCTCCATCTTTTGTTCTGGAAAATGAAAATATTCAAAAGGAAAACCCAGGGGCCCTTCATCTTAAGTTGCTGAAACCAGAAAGTCATGAATCTGTCATTCCCCTTGGTAGGACCCTTTGATCTTAATTGTGCCCTCTGGAGTGACACAGAAATCTAACCTCACCCTGGGAACCTCTAAAGCTAATGATTTCAGATTCAAACAAGACAAAACTGCCTAAAATAGGATGCAGCTCTAGTACCAAGTGTCTGCACTGGTTTCCTAGGGCTGTGATAACAAATCACCACAAACTAGATGACTTCAAACAAGAGACTCTATCATCTCACATTTCTTGAAGGGAAGTGCAACATCAAGGTGTCAGCAGGGCTCCTTGCTTCTAGAACCTCTGCAGGGAGGGGATCTATGCCACCTTTCTCTCCTGGATTGTCTGGGAGCCTGCAATCCTTGACATCTCTTAGCTGACAGACCCGTTGCCCCCATCTCTGCCTCATTCCTCACATGGTGTCCTCTGAGTCTCTGTACCCTAATTTCTTCTGATAAGGACAACAGTCATGGCATTAGGGTCCATCCTAATCCAGTATGGATTTATTTTGACTACATCTGCAAAGACCCTATTTGCAAAGTACACTACGTTAGAGATTGCAGGAGAACAGGAATTTGGAAAGACCATTCTACCGCATTCATGAGTCAAAAACAGAGATTTAGCTACATAATTTATATGTAAAATTTGCATATTTTATAGTATGTAATTATACATATAAACCATGTGTATGATATAGACCTACTATAAGGGATTCAAAACACATGATACATCTTCCAAATTAACAGCAAAGGGGGGCAATAAGGGGCAAGGACACAAGCAAACTAAAACAGTACAATAAAAATTTTCAAAGAAGGGGAGTATCAAAAGGACAGATATAGCTGAGTGCTGTGACACATACCTGTAATCTTGGCTAACTGGGATGCTGAGGCAGGAGGATCACAAATTGAAGGCTAACCTTGGCAACTTAGCAAGACCCTATCTCCAAATAAAAAAATAAAAATTTGAAAAGGCTGAAGATGTAATTTAGGGGTAGAATGCCCCTGGATTCAACCCCTAGTACCTCAAAAAAAAAAAAAAAGACAAATATAAGTTGAGGGCATAACTTAGTGTTAAAGCAGGGCTTAGCATGCATAATACCCGAGGTTCCATCCCCAGCGCACATGCACACACATAAACATGTTCCCTCTCTCTTTCTCTTTTTTTTTCTCTCAGAAATTTTATTTGTGTTTTTCAAAAAGATAGATATGGAGAATATGGATGGATGGATAGGTAGATAGGCACAGAAAATGTCTCAAAGGCTATACAAGAAACTCAACTATGATCCCTTCTGTTGGATGGGATTCATGCATTCATCAGCACCTATGAAATGCCAGGTACTTTGCTGAGCCCAGAGAACTGGACAGTGAATAAGATTTAAAAAAAAAAAAAAAAGCTACTTCCGTCTGCCTCTGCTGGAAGAAGATAGTAAGTACTATTTTCAGTAAACAAGATAGTTCAATGTGTCCCGAGTACTCTGAAGGAAGAGAAGGTGAGATGACGGTGAGTGGAAAGAGCACCTAGTGGGAGCTCTCCTGAGAGCCACCCAGGCCGGATGAGGGTCCAGCCAGGGAACTGCTCACAGGGCACAGAGAGGGCAATACCTTGGTGGGATGAAGTTAGAGTGTCTGATGTGCCATCTTCTCAAGATGGGCCCACAAGACTTTGGGCCCATAAAAGCATTTTAATTTATTTTAAAATCAGCAAATAAAAACCAAAAACAAATAAAATTTTATTGCCAGAGATTATGTTTAGCTTTATAGCATGCTGTCATAAAATATAATATTTAATATATTTTTATGGAGGAAGAGTCCCACAGAAGTCAGTCACAATGTGGCCCTTATCAGCTCCTGAGTGACGAACAGTCAGCACTCATAGGTATTTGTGGCCTAAACCAGTGAAGCAGGTTCAGGCACAGAGGGCTAGATGTGCAGGGCCTGGCTCGGCAGTTCGGTTTGTGTTCTGAATCCCATGGCAAGCCACTGGCATGTATAAAAAAGTCACATGACTGAGGTTAGGAATAAGGGAAGAAAAGCACTTTGACCTTTAGTTCATTCCTTTTGATGTTGACTGTGTTTTACAACATATAATAAAACCTCTGTGGTATGCAAAGATCTTTTTCAAAAGTTTTTCAATAGCAAAATTTTCTGATTAGTCCTTAATGAAGCAGGGCCTCTTTCAAATTCCAGGCAATTGCTGTTAATCTGTACTAAACAACATGGCAATGGAAATATGAAACACAAAAAAATAAATGGAGGCTGGGTGCAGTGGCACAGCCTGTAATCCCAGTGGCTCAGGAGGCTGAGGCCCCAGGATCACAAGTTCAAAGACAGCCTCAGCAATTTAGCAAGGCCTTGCCTCAAAATAAAAAGGGATGGGCATGTGGCTTAGTGGTAGAGCCCTTGCCCAGCTGGCAACCCACAACCCCTCTCTCAAGTCTCAGCACCTGAGCCGTCATTTTGGAAAAGTTACTTATTGCTGGGCATCAATTTCCTCATCTGCGACATGGGATAATAAAATTGATTATGTATGTTTGAGATAACAATCGAAATGTATTTGGGACACTCTCTTCCAATAAGAGGTTGAAGCTAACAACCTGGCATGCCACCTCGCAGTGTTTATCAAAATAAATGAGGTGGGACTTGGGTTGGTGTTGTTAGTTTTCATTCCTCAGGTACAGCAATGTCATTATTATTTACGTAGTTTAATATGTAAATTAAAATAAGATTATATACATCTAACAGGATATATATATGGAACTCTGAAATGTTGGATAGGCTATCCCAAAGATAGGTTACACTTCAGTGTTACCATTGAAAGTATAAATGCATACCATGTTTTGAAGACGTAGTATTAAAAAAAAAAGAACATGTCTCATTAATTGTTTTATGTTGATTATATATTAAATTGATAGTAGTTTGGATTTATTGGATTAAATAAAGCATTAATTAAATTAACTAATTTCATCTTACTTTTTTTTCTAAGTGCTGGGAGTTTGAACCCAGGGCCTCACACATGCTAGGCAAGTTAGTGCTCAACCTCTCAGCTACATCCCTCCCTAGCTCTCGTTACTTTTTTTTATGTGACTACTAAAAAACCCTTAAATGGCTCACATCCCATTTCTGTTTCAAGTGGACAAGACAAACATCTTCACTAGAGTCGGCTCTGGCTATTGCTGATGCAGGGAAGTTCCTTGGGTGGGTTATCCAGTTCTGCCAAAAAGCTTCTCATCCAGGAAGTGGGCAATCAGCAGTACCCCTAGGCGGGGTCTTTGTGGGCAGGAAGTGCACTGAGATGACAGTCTGCCGAGCACCAGCTTGGCCCTGGTGGCACCCAGCAAGCCCATGGGAAAGACTGGTGTTTGGAACTGCCAGGCATCGACTCTCCTTGCACTCAGAGTTTGGGAATGTGTTTTCCTGCAGTACCTGTCTAACTGCGTCGTTGGGGCATCCCTGGAAGAAATTACAGAGGAAGAAGAAGAGGAAGATGAAAAGCCAGCTGCCCGGGAAGCCTCATCTTTCAGGCTGAAGGAGGGCACGTTCCAGATCGTGGGCACGCTCTCCCAGCCTGAGAGCCCGGGGCCCAACTTTGCGGTGGAAACGTACTCAGTGAGTCAGGGGGCTTTCTCCGTTTCTCAGGGAAGGTCCCCTCCCAGTGCCTCCTTGAGTGTGGCTGCTCTGGGCTTCCCCTTCCCTGTCGCTGCAGGTGCAGGGTGTGCGGCAGCACGATGGTGGCAGGGCTTTTTCGTGAAGTGGCTGAAATTTTTGCCTGAAAAAATAATTTAGATTAGACATTCTTGGAAAGGATGGATCTAATTTGGACTCTCAGGCGCCTAACATTCTTTTTATGCTGTGCTTAACCTAACTTCTGCCCACAACCACTCTGAACCATGGCGGCATGACCTTTGGTAACAAGCCACCCAGGAACCGTGGACCATGGTGTTGTGTCTTACTGTGAAACACTATCACCTCCACGCACACAGTCTACACAGCACTCACCCGAGACATCCGAATGCCGGCGAGAAGGGGGCCTCCTCTCCCAGGGGTCCCAGGGGACCCCTCCCACCCTGTCCCACCTGCTGCTCCCTGAACCCTACTGTACAGCCCTGAGCACACTGTCCCCAGACCACCTTCCTCCTCCTTCAACCAGCCAGCGCTAGTCATCCTTCAAGATTTAACCCATTACCCCATAAACTTGTACAATTATTATGTATCAATTAAAAATAAAACTTAAAAATGAATATTGTGCAGGCCACAGTGGCACATGTCTGTAATCCCAGCAACCTGGGATGCTGAGGCAGGAGGATTCCAAGTTTAAGGCCAGCCTGGGCAACTTACTTAGCAAGACCCTGTCTCAAAATAAAAAATAAAAAGGGATGGGGACGTAGCTCAGGGGTGAAGTACCTCTGGATTTGATTCCGGCATGGCAAAAAACCAACAAAAACCACTGTAACTGCCGTCACATACTCACCCTCCAGCCAAGCTTGCCGGGTTTCTGTTCTCGAGACTAAGAGGCTCAGGGGTTGCTCCAGTTGAACTGGGCTAACTGGGCTGCACAAAATAACCACACAAGAGACACAATACCTTTTTCTTTGGGGTCGCTGTGACGGCTCCTCTGACCTTAAGGGTCCGCAGGAAGAGAGAGAGAGAGAGAGAGAGAGAGAGAGAGCACACACACGTGCTGACCCCTTTTATTGAGGAGAAGCTGTTCAAATGAGGCAAGGGGTCAGGTTTCAGGGGGCTGAGTCTATCTTCATGATGTCCACTGTCAGCAGGTTGACTGACACCTGGGTAGGCCACACCCAAGGGCACAGTAAGAGAAGGGGACACACACAAGGCACTTCCATGGAAGATTCTATCCTAAACAGGGCAAGGGGTTATATTACAAAGGAACAAGTGAGTGTAGCTCCATCCATGGGGCTGTAGCAAGACACACCCATGCACGACACTGAGACACCGACCCTCAAACCCAAGAAGGGTGGGGAAAGCTCTGCCACATTTCTGTGACTGAGCGCCTCAGCACCCAGCCAGGGAGTGTGACTCAGTCACAAGCAAGATTGGTCTCCCACACAAGCTGAAGGCCTCTGTCGCTGTGGGCTCCTAACCCACCTCGCCTCCCACAGCCCACTGGGCATGGTCCTCGGCCACCTTTGAGAGCTCCCAAGCCTCCCAGCTGGCACTCGCATGCATTCAGATCCCAGGGCTCTCGTGTGCCCCCAGATCTGACTCAGTGAATGTGCACGGAGCAGATCCGGGGTCCATAGATAGAGAGCTCACAGCCCAGCAGGAGCTCCATAGCAGACCAGGAGCTAGGTGCACCAGGGGCACACACAGCAGCACCCTGAGCACCTTGAAGGTCAAGGGGACAAGCTCTGGCCTGATCCACAGACAGGCAAATGCAGCTTCAGATCCCAGACAGTGAGGCCCCTCACTCCCCCTGACCTTCTGATCCAGGAGCCTCCTGGAGATGAGGCTGGGCCTCCAGACTGAGTCAGGCTTGCCAGGCAGATGAGGGGGAAAGAAACAACCCAGCACATCCTGCGCTTTCAACTAGAAAGAGCCAGTATAGCTAGTGCCCGGTTGTGGGGAGCCAGTGGGAAGAAGCAGAGTGACAGAGAAGGGAGGGGGAGTTGAGCATGGAAAACGTGGAGCTGGTCCGTGTTGTGAAAGGTGCCTCTATTTGGTCGGACACCGTGGCACATACTTGTAATCCCACAGCTCAGGAGGCTGAGGCAGGAAGGCAGGAAGATCGTGAGTTCAGAGCCAGCCTCAGGGGCTGGGGATGTGGCTCAAGGGTAGTGTGCTTGCCTGGCATGCGTGCGGCCCGGGTTCGATCCTCAGCACCACATACAAAAAAAAAAAAAAAAAAAAAGATGTTGTGTCTGCCGAAAACTAAAAAAAAAAAAGAATATTAAAGCCAGCCTCAACAAAACTGAGGCACTAAGCCTCTCAGTGAGACCCTGTTTTAAAATAAAATACAAAACAGGGCTGAGGATGTGTTCAGTAGTCAAGTGCCCCTGAGTTCAATTCCCAGTACCAAAAAAAAAAAAATGCCTCTGTTTGGCAAATCACCTGCTGTTCCCTGGGCATTCCAAACTCTGCCAGTGAGCTCATATTTGCCCCTCCAACCCAACTCAAATGTCAGCTCCTATGAGACATAATCACATCTTTCTCAAGTTCATTGAATCTCAAATGTTCCTCTAAGCCCCTTTCACACACTTAGGATTGCCACGGGAAGCTATGCAGGTTGCGCACCATACAAGGATGATGCTTGGCTGAGGGAGTGAGTGGGGGGGCTGCAAAGCAGCCTGTTCTGCTGGCCACACTGTGCCCCAGATGAAGGCCTTCTTATAAGCATTCCAAGAGCAGGCTGCCATTTGCTTAGTTGAGTCCAGGTCTTTTATTTGCTAAAATTTTCCCCTAAAACGCACACACACACATGCACATACATGATGCCCTTAATATTAGCAACCATATGCATTTATAGCCATTAATTATTTTGCCTCTATCCTAGGGCCAAAAGCAGAACCACAGATCTTTGTCAGGTGAACAAAGGGATTCAGGAATGTGGGTCAGGACAACAACTCTCTTGAAAATGTACCTATTTGATCCTGGATAGGTCTGACCATATTTATTTGTTTATCTTTGGTACTGGGGATAAACCCAGGGTGCTTAGTAAGATCCTGTCTCAATGTAAAATATATAAAAGGTCTGCAGATATAGCTCAGTGGTCTGAGCTATATCTGCAGCCCTTTTTTATATTTTATATTGAGACACGATCTTGCTAAGTTACTTGGGGCTTCACTAATTTGCTGAGGCTGGACTCAAACTATCAGTCCTCCTGCATCAGCCTCCCAGGTAGCTGGGATTAAGCCACCATGCCCTGCTAGTTTCCATGTTTTTAAAATAGTCCCAACTATCAAGTGTAATAAGATACCTTACGTCCAGATTCTTTCCATTTTGAGGGTTCCCAATAATTCAAACCAATTACTCACAGCACTTCTAAGTGATTCCTGATACGTAGCTGCTCAAATAATCTCGCATGGGGTTTGAGTCACTTTTCAATGCTCACTCGTGGTCCTCCAACATGGTCTGAGCTGGGGTGGGAACGGCATGCAGAGGGAGGACCCGAGATTGTTGCACCATTTTTAATCACCTGTTCCAGGCTGTTTCCTCAGACTTCTTTGTCACTTGAAAACTCCACACAGAAAGGAGCCAAATGTTCATGTTACATCCAAATCCTTCTGCAAATGTTTCCGTGGTACTTACTCCTCCAGGCAGCCTGATCTGGAAGTTGCCATCCTGTCTAAATATCAAGGTCATCGTGTTAGCCCTCTGCAAGAGACTGTCACTTCTCTTTCCAGACCATCTCCAGAGAAGACCTTCTCCTGCGCCTGCTGGAGTGTGACGTGGTCATTTACAACATCACTGAGAGCTCGCAGCAAGTGGAGGAGGCTGTGTGGGCAGTGTCCGGTCAGTGAGGGGGCACTCTTACCTCAGCAGCTCATCTTTTATTGACCTTTTTTTTTTTTTTTGGAGTTGCTGCGGATTGAACCCTGGGCTCAAGAATGCGTGGCAAGTGCTTTGACACTGAGCTCCACCCCTGGTCCCTGGTCTCTTATTTACACTTTATAGTTGTAAAGGGCATTATTTTTGTGCATCTTTCTTTGTCTAAGAGTCATCTAATGAACATTAGATAAATTAGGGCCATGGGAAAACTGACTTACCTAAAGTATGCAATCGGTGCTACTGACTATGTCTGTGGAGTTAGTTGTAAGCCAACTGCTCTGTGGGTGTAGGAAAAAGAAGCTGTAAACAGCATGTACGTGAAAGGACTGGGTTCCAAAAAAGTTTATTTATAAAAACAGGCAGTAAATACTTTGCCAACGGCTTAATTCAATCAATAGCAAAACTATTTTTTGGCTAAATTAAGGAAATAGAATGGAACCTAGGAATGACTTACATATTCAGGAAAATGATGGATTTGTGGAGCTTGGAATGTTCAATTTCTCACTTACAACTTTGTGCCTAAATTTTATTCAGTGAGGCATAAATCAAAAACATGAGCGCTGTCATCTTTTGGAACAGAGCTTGCTTAAGCCCTACTCTCTGCATTGTGCCTCCTCTCTACATTGTGTCCCCTAGCAAATACTTACAGATGATATATTATTGTACCATCTGAAATAATAATTGGAGCTAATGGTTTTGAGCACTTATTTTGTGCTAGGTTTGAAAAATTGATTTTTCTTATAATGCATGCTTGTAATTTTCTTTAAATTTCTAACATTTTTTTTCTGAAATAAAATCTAGATGTTTTCAGAACTATAAAGCACAGTAGAGCTTAGAATAAAGCAACAATTCCCTGCATTTCCTTTCTACTCTGTCCCTACTTTCCCAAAGTGACTTCCTGCTCAAAGCCCCAGGTTCAATTCTCAGCACCTGGGGGAAAAAAAACAGCCTGTATGGATGGCCCTTTTGTTACTTAGTTTTCCATTGCTGTGCAAAATAGCTAAGAAAAACAATTTAAAGGCTTAGTTTGCTTCCCAGTTTCAGAGGTTTCAGTCCAGGTTGGAGGCCCTGTTGCTTTGGGCCTGTGAGGAGGCCGGTGATAAGGTGGGTAGTGCCAGGGGAGCAGCTCACCTCATGGGGAAGCAGAGAGGAGGGGCCAAGATCCCTGTCAAGGACACGCCCTCAGGGACTGCTCCCTTCCACCCGTCCCCCACCCCCAGAGTTCCCACTGCCTCCCAAGGGTGCCATCAGCTGGGGACCAAGCCTTCAGCACTAAGCCTTTGGGGGACACTTGAGATCCAAACAGCAGCAGCCGTTGGGACAGATGTGCATCCTCCTCCCTTAGGACCTCTCCACAGCCTCAGGGGAATCCAATCACTTCTCAGACTTTGCGACTACTCCCTGCCATAAGCTGTAGATCATGGAGTGTGTTTCACAGGGTCTTCTTCATCCTGATTTACATAATTAAGAAAATTTTACTTCTCCTTTTGGAGGAAGAGCTTTGACTGAATCGCATTGTTTTTGAGCCACAGGGTGACTGTGTGCAGGAAAGTGTACTCAGGGACCCTTCCTCTCTTGGCAGTCGCCTGCGGGCTGTGGGGTTGGTGGGGCTGGGGGAACAGCAGTGGGGACTTTGTCACTTAACTCAGGCGCATTCTTAGATTTTGCTTTTCTTACAATAGATACATATAACTCTTAATAATGTTTTATTAACTTGGGTTTTAAATTTTCAGAATTCTCCTACCTCGCCTATCCCCTATAAGCAGGCAAGAGGACGTAGGAGAGCAGGGAAAATTATCAGAAATGAGAAGAAAACATTTACATATTTGCATAAATGGTGTGATCAGAAGGAGAACAAGCACATCATTTCAGACCTGCTGTAAATATCATAAATAGAAAGGGCCACCCAGTTAGAGGACCTCAAAGTGTGTCAAGTGTTCACAAAATAGGCCGATCGGAAGCACAGCCGAGCGGAAAGGTCAAAAGAGCAAAACGAGGTTGAAGAGACAATCTTTTTGTTATTAGAATAAAAATAGAAACTAAAATTAGCATTGGAACTTGGGATAAATATGTGAAACACAATGTCCTTAAGCTTGATTCATTAATACTTCCCCACGTTGGGGTGGGAAGCCACACGCCTTCTCCATTCAGGATGTCACCATGTCCTTGTTTTCCTAGCTCATTGTTTAGTGAATCCCCTCATGAGACTGAACCTGTATCTTCTAGACCCTCTGACAACTCAAGTAGACCTCATTTTAAGGCTTACACCTTTTTTCTGGAAAATTTACAAGATGAAGACTATCTTAGTGGAATCGCTTGCTAGATGCATTCACGGAGGCGCAGCGCCTAAATGTGTGACAAAACCATGGCAGCAGTCACCCTTCCATCCATATCTGCAGGGGTGGGGGCATAGCCCAGCAGGCCACTGCCTGGATGGCACCGCCTGCCCCAACACTCCCCTCCCTGATTCAGGGCAGACTGGGCCTCGGGTCCTGAATCTGTAAAACAGACATGATATCAGGACCTGTCTCACAGGGTAAGAATCCAATAAACCTATGAACTGTCCCAATTCATGTCAGCCAGGATTATTCCCATCCCTCCCCCAAGTAAGGGAAAGCCCTGATGAGAGACAGTTCTGAGATCCCTAAACTTAATTACGAAGGGCAGAGGGGCAGGGGAGAGAGGAAGGGACTGCAGTCAGTTAGCAGCCACCTGCTCCACATTCCTGGCTGTATGTTCCACCCCTGGACCTGACCTCAGGTGCCACTGCTGCCTCCTGGGTACATATAAACTTTCTGGACTACCAGCCCCAACCAATCCAGAGGAGCAAGTTCTCCTTATGGACTGTCCTCCTATCCCCACTGGCATTCCTGGCCCCTCTTATCCAGCACCAGTGTGGCCTCCGTGTCAACAGCTTATGCTTTTCTTCCCCCGATGCTCACCGTAGTACGCTTGCTTGGCTCTTGGGTCAGGTGGAGACATTTCCAACTGCCACCCAGTGTTCAGCTTGCAGTAGCAGAACGTGTCCCAGGATCTGTTCCAGCTAGCTCCCGGAACGGTTCAATAAACCCTCAATTTCAGAACCTCAGTCCCAAGAGTTTGGGTTTAATAGCACACAGGTCCTGGGAAGGGGTTAAACTTTTGAGCTGAGCCCAGAAGGGATCAGGCAATGGGAGGGAGGATTGGGGAGAAGATAGATGGGGATGGAACGGTGAAACCTCAGAGGTGACCCCCCGCCCTGGAGCTAAATTGCTCGCTGAGGAAGAAACTTCAAGCCCTCCCCCGCCCCGATATCTAATAGTAGGTGTGATTGCTAAAGCAAATTCTGCATGGGTCCAAATAACTGCTCTGCTTTTTGGTCCTGCAGCGCTGAGTGAAGAAGTCAGCCATTTTGAAAAGAGAAAGGTATTTATTCTGCTCTCCACCGTGATGACTTGGGCACGATCCAAACCTCTGGACCCAGTAAGTAGAACTTCAGCTTTCCTTTAGGTAACCTTTCACCCCAAGGCCTTGCTGGCTACATATGGAAGGAGCTTTGTACAGTGAGCTGTGCTTTCTTACTCCTGTTGCAGGTGTGCAGCTGAATCTAGTGCTTCTAAGCCCATTTGGTTGGTTCTGCGGGACTCCATTGGTTTACAGGACACAGAGTCCACCATGAGGCCTGCGCAATGGTTTCATCAATGAGGTTCTTGGCATAAAAGTTAGCTAGAAGAGATTGAAATAAAACACACAGACTCAGTTACCTTATTTCTATTGCCAGGTCCGAGACGGCTCCCCTCTCTGGCTCCAACCTCTAACCGCCCAGCAGGGCAGCAAGGATTACTCAGGGCTAGCAGGAGAGAGAGAGAGAGAGAGAGAACACGCCAGGGAGTAGCCTTTTATTGGGGAACAAGAAATTCAGGGGATAATTCCATCCAATGAAGGTTGAGGGGGGACTGCACTCCAAGGTCAGGGTCAGTGATTGGGCCCCCGGGGTCAGTGGTCAGTCACACCCCCACACTGACGGGTTCTCTCATCAGGAAAGGGCCGGGAAAATTCCGACACAGCCAGAAGCCTCAGACCCTTAACGGGAGCCGCCCAGTCACGTGTCAGGATGGCTTCCCACAACAGAGGATTCTAAAATGCTACCTTGTAAGCTGTGGTCAGGCACTGCATAATGGTGTTTGGTCATGGAGGGACACATCTGTAGGGTGGTCCAATAAAGTTGTAATGGAGCAAGGACATTCCTGAGGTCCTGACACAAGGCGCCGCTCATGTGTTTGGGTGATACAGTGCAGACCAACCAACCTCATGAGCTGCCTGCTGTGGAGAAGTGTAGCACCTAGTGCATGGTTCTCGATAATCAAGACCATGCTACTGGTTTATGCATTTCCTGTGCTGCCGCAGTCTGGCTGGGCACAAATGCCGCAGTCTGGCTGGGCACACAATCACGAGCCACCACACAGCTTGTAGATTCAAACAGCAACTCTTTATTCCCAAACTCACACCAGCCGTCTACAAACACGTTCTGGGGAAATCCACGTTCTCTGCCCAAATCCACCCCCACTGGGCTTCTGTCTCCCAAAATATACTGTCTGAATCCCGTGAGAACTCAAGGGGAACTCAGGAAGCAGGATACGCCCTATTCCCAGCAGGAATAATCTTAAACCTGGAACGCCCTAAACCCGATTATCCTAAACCGGGAACACCCTAATCCGCCCTGGTCCTTGAGCAAGGTCACCTACATGCAATGTCACTGCAAAATGTCCTATTTCCACGAGTCCTTCCACTAAGCAACATGGGGTACGCTGGCAAGGAAATTGTCATACCTACTTGGCTAATGGCTCCCAGCACTGTGCTATACTCTTTGTTGTTAGAGTGCCCTCCACCTTACTGAAAAAGGAAAGGTTCAATGTCAAACAGCAGGCCCTATTACGCTGGCAGCCCTCACATATCTCGTTTGTCAGCTCTTGATTTAATCCCAAGTTGTTTTGTTCACCAAAAATCCGCTGATGTTGACAGGAAGAGGTCAGATCAAGTCATGGACCTGGAAACAAAACGTAAAGTGATTAAGGACTGCCAAGTGGACACTCAGTGATGGTCATTGCTCATAGTCAGGCACATCCCGCTTCGCCACGGCTCTGATCTTGAAGGAGAACCAACTGACGGGAGCCATTAAAGGGTCTGCTTCACTGTGGGCAACAACCGGAGGAGGGCCTGTATCTGACCTGGAGGACCTCTGGGACCTGGACCGAGCGAGGCCAGACACAGAAGCGCATCCCCCTCAACACCTCGGCATCACAGCCAAAGCCAAGGGTTTGCAATGATGAGAGACCCCACTGCAGTGGTGAATTCCTGCTGGCTCTGGGTAGTGTCAGTGATTCAAGGATTGTCATTCATTACCCAGTGTGAAAGTGAATGTTGAGTCTCAAGGGTCACTTGTTCAAGATCTAGCATGATGGAGGGTGTGGAGGAGGAAAGCAGCTCAGGACATGGCAATCAGGAAGCAGAGAGGCTTCTGCTCTCCTGGAACAAAATACAAACCCCAGCGTCACTCTGCCCATGACCTGTGTCCTCCAGCCACACCTGCTTGCAGACACCACCCAGTTAACCCCTATCAGGGGATTAAAGCACGGATTAGCTCAAGACTCTCATAACCCAATCGTCTTACCTCTGAAAATTCTTACATTGTGTCACACATGCTTTCAGAGCCTCTGCTCTTCTCTGCTGCTATCTCCTTGTGATCATCCCGGGAAATTCTAACAGTCTTGGGAGCCAGTTCTAAGGAGGAGTCGCCTCATATCTAAACTATAGCAGTCCCCTACAAAACAATCATTGACCACTGGACTGGCTGACCATCCTGCAGTCTTCCTGACTGACTGTCCCCATTGACTTCAGCAAAGTGGCAACTGCAGGCACAGCTGGACCTCCAGGCTGGAGTCACGTGCTCAGAGCTTGCCCTCTTCCACGGCTTCTTTCCTCCTCAGAGCAGGCTTCCTCCGCCAGTCAGCTCCCTGCTCCTTCTGACTCCCAGCGGCCCCTGTGTGGGCCTCCTGAGCTTCCGTTTACTCTCCTCTTAGGTCATGTCTTATGCCAGGACTGGAATATGCTCTTTGGCCAGGTCTTAGGTCACAGGTCTAACCTTGAACTTATCACTGTGGCCAGGGGAATACAGTGGTCTGATCTCCAGACCAGGGATCCTATAACTCCTTGCAGACCAGGGAGGATCAGTCCCCTGAACCAACAGTGAAGAATTATTGATCCCCCAGAGAAAATATGGAGAAACAGCTCCTAGGTTGGCTCCTGAGTCCTCTGGCCCCCACCTTGCACTGGATTCTGTTGTATTTTCCTAGTGGCTAATGATCATTTTAAAGATCACGTCTACTAAGGTGTACGTACATATAGTAAGTTGACCCCGTTCCTGCACAGCACTGGGTTTGGACAAACGCCTGATTACGCACATTCACAGCAGTTAAGGCACAGAACACTCCCTTCAGCCCTCCTGAACTCTCCCTCTCTCCGCACAAAATGTCATTTCAAGGTGGGTCACATAATTAGAGTAAAAAGCAAAACTTTAGTTTTTAAAGAAAACTTATAGAATTTATATGGAAGGATTTCTTAAACAAGTCCTAATAATTTAAATATTTGAATAATTAATAAATTTAGCTACAATAAAACTGATAACATGTTCATGGATGAAATGATACTATATCTGAGCTTTGCTTTTGAAGTGAGGACGGGGGGTGGGTTATAGGTGGAAAACATGGCTACACAAAGCAAGCATGTCTGTCCCCACGAAGTCAGCAGAAGAGCAGGTGGCAGAGGAAGATGTGGCTTCTGTCTGAAATCAGGACGAGCTGAGGAGGACCATCGGTTAGGGCAGTCCAGCTGGAGTCAGTTTAACAGAAAGAGGAAGCCGTTGCAAAGACATGAACAGTGCCTTACGACCCAGGGACAGAGCTGCCACTGGGGATAGGGACTGGGGACGTCTGGGAACTCAAGAAAGCCTCAGCTCTTTTCTGCTTCTGTCTCCTTGTGATCATCCCAGGAAAATCTAACAGTCTTGGGAGCTGGTTCTAAGGAGGAGTCACCAGTATGATGAGCTGCAAAAATCATTGAAACTCATGAGCTTATGGAAGATACCTCAACCCTGTCACTCTGCACAGTGGCCCCCAGCAGCCCTCTGGGCATCACCGGTGCACAGATGGTAATCGTGGACTCCCTGGGCCAAGCCTAGTAGCTCTGGGATTTTGTGGCAGGCAGTCAGTACCTGCCGTGGGTTGGTAAATGTTTGGATGGGCCTGGAATGTTCTGGTGGTGCTGGAAAGCCCAGATACCTCCAGAGCTGTCCTGGGAGTGCTGGGGAGACAAAGGTTGTGAGACATGCCAAGTTGTGAGAAGTGGAACTCCATGGTAGGTCTGTGCACTGGATGTTGTCCACCTGCCCCTCCAGAGCACTCTGTCTCTGACTGTGAAGCCTACAGCAGCAGGCAGCCTTGTCCTGGGCTCCCACCTCTGTCTGGCCAAGGGACACACTGGCCAGAGGAAGGAAGAGACAACAAGAATGAGTCAGGGTATCTGCTCGCCCAGTGCCCTTCTGCAGAGTTGCTGCTGATGGGCTGTCCCTCGTCAGGCTGCTGCTCCTGTCGCACCCAACTTTGTCACCAGGCTCTAATCACTTGCTCCTTGACACTTTAGGACTTAGGAGTGGTACAGAGCATCGTGGTCATGGCTGCAGGCATGGGGCTTCCCCTGCCTCCTGCCCACATCTTCCTTAATAGCCCTGTTGTTAAACTGCACTCAGATGCCCATGCGAGAAGGTTCATGCTTTCCGGCCAGGACCCTGACCGGTGTACTGTGGTTCATTGGAGTCAGAGGACTGTGCCAAGTCACGACAGCATCATGCCACGCGGAAGGGAAGGGGGAACCCAGGGCCGTGTGGATGTAACTGGCTTCCTGTCAGGTAGTCGCCATGCCATCCTGGCCAGCAGAGGCTGGATTTGTTCAGATGTCCACACTATCCATAGACCCAAGGAAGGGAAACTGCCCCAGCTCCCAGCTGATCCAGACCCACCATGATGGTCCATTCTTCTTGCCAACAACTGTTTAAGGGGTGGACAACAACTTGATTCTGAAGTGTGAGGATGTAACAAACCAACCCCCCAAAATGCAAAATGGCTTAAACATGGTGGAAGTTTTTGCAGTACTGGGGATTGAACCCTAGATCTCAGCCATGCTAGTCAAGTGCTCTACCACTGAACTACAATGCCCACACTGTTATTTTGTGGTTTGGTTTGGTTTTGTTTTTTGAGACAGTCTCTCATTAATTTGCCAAGACTGGCCTCAACCTTGCAATCCTCCTGCCTCAGCAGGATTACAGGTGGGCACCAGTGCACCCTGCTGGAAATTCATTTCTTGCACATGTGATTTGTAAAACAGGTGCCCCTGATGATTAATTCTCCTTTGAACTCTGACTGGGGACT